CAAAAAGGCACATTCTTCTACTTAAAAACTAATCTGTCATATTGCACATAAATTTTGGGTCAGATAGCACTTAACCAATTAATAGAATAACCTTTTGCTATTCCATACAGTTAAGTGTTTGGTGCTGTCTTGTTTCAAAAGGGCTGAAACACGCTTTTTTCCCCTCATGTAGGAATTTTAATAAGAAACTTGATATAACATTGTTGGCAAAAGGCTGGTTTCAAAAAATGTACCTTATAATGAATTGGCATTGTAATGATTTACTGTTTCATACTGTTTTTCACTGAAGAAGCTTAAGGCGCTTTGATCTCCGAGTAAACACTTGGCCTCTCTTGTCCCTTTGTGCCAGGCAGAAGAGCCATGTTCCTGCTAGGGTTACCAGAACTCCAGGCTTGCTTGGGACATATTAACCCAGTGCAGATGCATCACAGATACACGAGGCTGGTCTGGAGCATCCCTCCAAGTACTGTGTGGCTCATTCTGAAGCAGGAAAGGAGCCACATGCTGCACTAGTCTGCGATACGTGTTGCTATCTGGGCAATGATGAGGCTCATATCCTGAAATGGCCCTGTGCTGAAATATGTTGGGACTTTCTCCAGCTCCTAAGACATTTGAGGCTGAGGAAGATGCAGAGATGGCTTTATTGGATGTTGAAAAAAGAAACATAGTGGAACTGTTATTCCTGTATGTGTTTCTGTAATGTTTACTGTAATGTTATTGCATATTTATGCTGCCTAGTTACTTCTAAGACATTTTTTTTAAATATGCCACACAAACCCCCATGCAAAAGTGGAAATGGTCTCCTGTAGAGTGTCCTACCTATTATTACAGCATAATTTTACAAAACAATTCTTAAAATGGTCAGTCATGCCAGAACTTCTGTAGCTTAGTCTGCATAAAAGGCTGCTCCTAGCAATAAGGAGCTAAAACAGTTAATGCAGTTATCACTGCATTAAGTGCTGCTCTGACACAGCACTTAAAACTAAAACTTATGAATAGCAGTGCTTATCTGGTAACAGGTTTTTAAATTGCGTAGTCTCCTTTCAGTCTTCAGACTCTAAAGGTATTTCTTAGCTGCTGTACTGTGAAATAAGAACAAACAGTGAAAGTGTTAGTTCGTAGTTCTATCAGAATTATCATGAGAAGGACAGTTGGAATTCAATTAGAAGGTCTGGGTCCATAGATCTATTAGTTTAGATTAATCAACATAATCACCTTTCACTTAAAAAAGTGGTCTTAAATTATTTGCATTAGACTAGTTTTATATATACATATATATATATATTTAGTTCAATCTCTTTGAGGAAACAAAGGCTGTCTAAAGTTTTCAGCAATGAACATTTTACCCAAATCACTAATACATCTAAATCAGCTTACCACGTAATATAAATGTTTGCCCTTTTACAAGCAAGACTGTGTACCGTGTGCTGCCTTTCCCTTTTCTATAATTAGCAGAAACATTTGGAAATTTCAATAACATTTTCTCTGTATCTTTACAAGAAAGAAAATTACCTAAAAAGGGAAGAAAGGCAAGTCTAGGAAGGAGCACAGCTAATCTAAACATCACCCACAACTTGCAATCAGGGACTCCCCCTCCCTTCTCCAATCAGATCCCTTCAGTGTTTGTGTTTTGTTTTTATTATTCAAACTCTCTCTCTTCACTACAGATTTCCCTACTTGGAAATATTATCATTTGAGATCACTGTACAGCAACAACAGATAAAGCTGTGCCAAGCTGCAAACCAGCCCACGGGATAAATGTCTGTAATCAGTAAAGGACACATCCACTGCAGACACAGGCTACCCCAACATGGAAATATTAAGTTCATCTGTCATTTTAGTAGTGTTCACATTGCTCAGGTAACCGTGTGCTGTCTCTACACCTAGTTGACACTTACCAAGTAAGAAAATGGTAAGGAAAAATATGACTTTACACTTGGAAAGATGAATTTTGAACTGCTGTATACCGTCAAACATCTTAACTACTGTCTTTACTAAAATTTCAGCCAGCAATACTTTGCCCAGGTTTCCTGACTGTAACAAATGGTTCAAAACTCTTGAGTTCACAAAAATACCAGGACTATTCCATGCCAGGAAGAGACAGTATAAGAAAACCATAAACATATCTTTCCTGACTGGTAAATCATCCACAGCAATGGGATTGGTATGAATTCACAATCTCAGCATTAGAACTTCAGTAGGACCCTATGTAGAAAGTCAGATTTGTGATTCTGCAAAAGTTTAGTTCACAGCAAGTGAAAATTCCTTTAAATGTGTTTTACATGTCCATAAATATAATCAGAGCTCCAATCTCTGGCCATTCAACCTTTTCCTTAGAATACTTTTAGCTATAGCAATTTGGCAGAAACTGAAGGCATAACAGTTGGTTGATTTGAAGTTGGTACACAGCCTCGGTGAGTCCTCCTTTGAAACCTCTACCACCTTCACAAATTTTGGATAATAAATCAGACATAAAGGGTAATTTGCTGAAAATTGCATAAGGCCTGACCTATCAATACAGTTTAGCAGAAATCCCACAAAGCAATTGATTTTTGCAGAGACGGTGATCTCTAGAGCCCCTTCTTGGATACTAATCCTGTGGAAAAATAAGCTGGGGTTTTTTTTCCATACAGTTATTCCCATTTTGCCAGTTAGAAACACAGTCAGCTTTGGCAAAGACCTGGAATAGTAGCAGTGACAGTAAATTGAAAGCTTTAAAATAAACTTGGCACTAAGCCTCACTGTGTTGCTAGTTTACTGTTCGATTTGAGGTCAGTCAAGGCTTCCACTCAGTAAGTAGATGCTGTAAGCTAAGTATACTGCTAGATCCTAAACAGCTGTGAAGGACACAAAGGCACAACGTTTATTTAATTACAATTCAGACAGACCACTCAGATGGTAGTTTGTTCCCATAGGAATGAACAATTAACAATAGTTTCTGGGATGGTTAAAAGCAACTTGATTATTTAGGGGTTTGGCCCCTTTATGATGCTTTTTGATGGGAACTGTAAGGCTTGCCAAGTTGGAATGATGACTTAATATAGGGGAAAAAAAAAAGAAAATGGTCATGTTTAATTTGTGGTTGTAAAAGATGACTGGATTATGGGGAAGGCTTTTAGGTTTCAGAATAGTATTGAGGACTGCAGGGAAGAGCACTGGCCAGGCAGTACTAAAATAAGGGGTCATTTTGGCAAAGGAAACCGGTTTATTGTTAATTCCTTAGGAGGCTTAGGGTGACACTTAAGCCCCAAACCAAACTACATTTCTAGTTTTTATCTCAGTCTTGCAGTATCCATCAATAGTTTTTCAGCCTTTACTGTTTGATCTCTCAGCCTAGCCCTAATCTGAACTAGGGTTTTTTAAGGAAAAAGCATCTTTAGCCTTCATCTAACACCCAATATTGACTGGCACAAAATGCATTAAGGCAGATCCTGGAGAAGAAATTGAGTGAACTATTTTTAAAGATAGTATTTGACACATCAGAGTCTAAAGAAAAAATTTTTTATTGTTGCACATGGCTTACAGGTCTAAGATGAGTACTCGGCACAAACTCAGGTTTGTCTAAAGGTGCAAGTTGTTGGTTTCTCTTTATATTTAGGCTTAGACAACAGCCAGGAACTAAACTGTCCGTCAGATGTACCATTGGATCCTGCAGTTTCTTAGCTGAGACTGTGACTGGAATGAACAGAAGCACGTGGTTTTACATAGACACAATATGCTGGGATGGTTTTAGGACTCCTTTCAAGCTTGAGCTTTAGGATAAAACACCAAAATTGTTACATTCTGTCTTGCTCATCATGCTAAATGAAGGCATATGATAAAGAGGTAGATATTTGAAAGACAATTATGAAATAGGTTATGGGTAACCTGACTGTAAAGTTGAGCAAAAGCAAAGATGTAAGGCACTGTTCCACAAAGTCAGCAGTGCTACAGTGAAGACTGGTGCTAGAAGAAATGCATGGAGGACAGTAAGAATCCCATTAGTTTTGGTTACACCTGGAAAAGCGGTGGCATATCACTTACACAAGTTCAATGAGGATCAGTGAAAATTAGCTACAGCACTCTTAAAAATAAATTTGGCAACACATACACTTTGGTATGTCATCACCCCTGAACACAGGAAACAAACAGCCATCTTTTGAGGCAGGTTTCTTTTGACTCATTGAAAGGCCTTCATCCTGTTCCCAGAACTTGACCTAAATAAAGTTACCACTCTTGTTTCTGTTTTTAAACGATTCTGAAATGGGTGTATTCAAACAAAGACCGCCCTATAAATGGTTGGATTGCATCCTCTTACTCAGTCATCTTTGTAAATCCTGAATATTGCTACATGTTGGAACTGCCAAGTTTTCCCCTTCTGGCTGTAAACAGAATGGGTGCAGTTGGGAGCTACAGAAGTTTTTTTAAAAAGCTTCCTAACCTCCCCCAGCTTTTCACATTTCTGCTCTCACCACCAGTCTGCCTGTCAATGGGAAAAGACACAAGCATCATGAACACTGAAGGGTTATTTGCGGCTAGTCCTTGTTTGTAGCGCTGCACGTACGGCAGTTTTTAATGATGTGTTTTCTGCGCTAAATTAAGCCTGGGCTCTTGGGAGTAATTGCACTGGCTTCCTTTAATGAAGCAATAATCCTTGTTAAAGTCAGCACGCATAACGCGTAGCCTTTTGCAACCTGCAAAGCCACTACTGAGCTGAGAATTCTCCATCCCAGTCCCCGCTTTAGGAGCCGACCGGGGGTCGGTGTTGTTTTGACTCCCAGGCGGTACTTTCGGAGGGGAGTTCCTTCGGCTACGTGAGCTCGGGCAAAAACAACCGCACCAGGAAAAGCCCTCATACAACGAGTTACCACCCGGGCGCCACCGAGCCAAGGCACAAGGACAGGAGCGCTGACCGGGACACGAACGGGGGCGGGGGCCGGGGCGGTGTCGGGGCACCGGCGGAAGGGCGGGCCCGCTGCGAACCCACAGCGGCGGCTCCCCCAGCAGCGGCGGCGGCCTCGGCCCCGTTCCCGGCCATGCTGTTCCGCTTCGGGGTGGTGCTGCCCTCCCGGGTGATGGAGGGCGGCGCGGAGCTGCTGGTGGCCGGGTCGCGGCCGGAGCTGGGCCAGTGGGACCCGCAGCGCGCCGTGCCCATGAGGCCGGCGCGGCCAAGCGCGCCGCTGCCCGCGCAGGAGCCCGCGCTGTGGCTGGCGGAGGTGGAGCTGCCGGACGAGGACGCCGCCAGCCCCTTCTGGTACAAGTTCCTGCGGCGCGAGGGCGGCCGCCTCCTCTGGGAAGGTAACGGAGGGGCCCCGCCGCGCCGCCCCCCGCGGCCCTGCCCGCGCCGCAAGGACGCGCCCGCCCGCCGGGTCGGCCCGGAGGGCGGAGTAGCGGAGCCAGCGCTTCTCCTTGAGGGAGAGCATTCCCTGCCCTCGGCTCTCGCAGCTCCGCCTTCCTCCTCCCGGGGCCGGGAGGGTGTCCCTGTCAGACGGGCCGCAGCCCCAGCTCGATCCTGCCGCTGGTGCTATGCGGGGGTCCCCCGAACTGTGCTTGCGGGTAGAACCGCCCAGGCTGTCGTGACGTGACATGAGTTCTCGCTAACAAAAACATTTTTTAACCGTGTGATGGAGGAAAGTGAATGCAGAAGGAAGCAGCTCTTCTAGGTTGGTAAAAGTCCTTCGAAATTGTCACGATGCTTTGTTTTGTTTTTTTCTTTCCCCAGAAGGAAAGAACTCAGAATTTTCTACTTAGGCATTAAGGTGTGGGCTGTTACTGTATTTTGCTAAGCTGAAATGTCATGGTGGCATTTTCAGGCTGACAAATTTTACCGTTGGAATTTCTGAAAAAAAACCAAAAAACCAAAAAACAATAATAAGAAGAAGTTCTATCACAGTCTTTTGCAGTTTCAGTAGTATTTTCACCATGGTTTTCTCCTGTTCTGTGTTGTCAAATGTTGAATAACTAGTCAGTTTACACGTGCTGTTCTGAGAACACTCATACAATTGTCTGCTGAGTCAAATAAAGCTCTAAATATACCTTTTGTTACTGAGGAATGGATCTGACGCTGTGAAAGGAAGACAGATGACTAGGTGATTTGTGCAGTTTTTTTTTTTACCTCATAGTTTTATAATCCATATACCAAAATAACACATTGTAGAGCAGTTGCTCTTCAACCATTTTAAGAATACGTAGCACACTTCTAAACTGCCATTCTGTCATGTAGACTAAAACATGCATGTTGTCATCACTGTTGCATTTGTTTCTTCTTCTTTATGCTAATAAAAGGCTACATGTTAATGCTACATTCATGCAAGGTTACATCATGAAATACTATGTACATCATGCAATAGTAATTGTTTTATTTAGCAGCTAAAACAAATAGTGTATTTTGCCTGTTTTAACCATGTTTTTCTTTTGCAGAATTGCAGGAAAAGTGAATTTATGGAATAAAAATCTTTACATCTATCCAAGGAAGCAGAATTATGTCTCTTTTGAAAGTACCAAGTTGTACACAGTATGCCAATGATATTGGTATATTAAAGAGATCCTTGCCATACAGTAATAATAATAAAATGTTCCAGACTACAGAGAATCAGCAACGTAAGGTTAATAGTTACTGTGGAAGTAGTGATAGCTCAAGATACTGTCTGTTCCTGGAGGCACGCTCAGGAAATGTAGTCTGTATGTTTTGTAAGTTTTGACTGTCACCTGCTTATTCTTATAAAAATCACAATTGAAAAGGCAACTGTCGTTTTTAAGAATTTTTTTTTTTTGTTTTTTTTTTAATAAGCAAGTGCTGTGCATTGTCTCTTTAGTATCCTACGTGTTTAGAATTAAAATGTGCTTTCGGAGACATTTAGCACTTCCAGAACATCTGCATTTTTGAAGACATGCTTATGGGAGATAGAGGAAAGTGCAGAATTATACTTGCTCTAAGTTTATGAGTTGTGGCATTCATCTGTAACCAGAGAAACTCCAGTCCAGTTATGGATGTCTCAGATGTTTACATATATTGGATGATGAAATAATGTGCCGTATTTACTCCCAGTTTTTTATTACTCCATGCCTATGAGAATTGCATTGGTAACACATACTGTTTTCGTAATACTGCAGTACACATTGTATCATATATTTTGAATATAAATTACAGCTAATCCAATGCACTGGGGAAACTGAAAGATAAAGTGAAGGTATTTGTTTCTCTGGGCTAAAAGAGTCAAAGTCACAGACCAGTGTTTTGTGGCTCTTGGGTTCTGCCAGGTGGTCTGGTAGGAAGCTTTCAGGCAAGGCTTGGCCTGCATGAGAATCTCTGGGTTGCTGCTTGTGTCGGGAGGGAACTAGTTCCCCTCTCAAGGAGGATGAGGTGGAAGAGGAAACTCACTTGTGCTCCTGAAGGATCAGATACTTCCCTCTGCTGCCCCAGGGTGATATTGCTGATCTGCAGCCAGGACCTGTCACTTGAAGCCATTGAGCATTTCTGGCTCCAGTCACATGAGCTGTGTGAGGTTTCTTCAGGGTTGGTTCTTGCTTAACTGTCATGAAAGTTGAGGTCTGGTATCCAGGAGGATTTTTAACTGTGCTGTGGTATCTGTGGAAAACAGATTGGTTATGCTGAGCTTTAGAACCTTGGAATAGGTTTCGAAAAAAATAATTATATATACTTTGTTCTCCCCAACTGCCCCTGTGTCTGTCTGTGGACTTTATTTCTGATGTTGATTCTTCAAAACTGGATTTAAGGTCTCTCAGCTTGGAAAGGAAAAGCATTTTGTGCCTACTGTCAAAACTAAATAAATACAAGATGAAACTTACACTTGAATTTTTTTTTTTTTACTTAATGATTAAACACATATATGTGCCTTTATCCCCTTTATTCTCATCTAAATAAACTGTAGGTACTAATCAAGAAACATGCTCCATAGAAGGACAGAGGAGTTACTAAGGGTATGCCCCAAACTGTACTTGGAGATGATGGAATACTGTCTATTGATACCTTGTGTTTTGAGAAGGGTAAAAATATATATAAAAAACATGAGCTTGTATTGTAAAATGTGATCCATTTCTGCCCAGAGAAGCTGTGGATAGCTCGTTCCTGGAAGTGCTCAAGGCCAGGTTGGATGGGACCCTGAGCAACCTTGTCTGGTGGAAGATGTTCCTGCCCATGGTGGGGGGCTTAGAATTGAATGATCTTTATGGTCTCTTCCAACCCAAAGCATTCTATGATTTTCACCCAACTGTTAATTTGAAGTAGTTGGTGCTTGAAGTTTGACAGATACAGTATTGCTGGTTAAAGCTCAAGAGCACAGTCATTCTACATTTTAGGAATTTGTTCAGGTGAGCAGGGCCTTATTCCTTCCAAAAAGCCCTCCTCTAGTTTTGGAGAGAGAGTAGGAGAGAAAAGAGGTGTCTTGTTTGCATGTAGGTGCTGTTGCTGCTTTTGGTGGTTTCTTGGAGCCCAAACCAGGTAATGTAATACAGTTTGGTTTATAAAGAGTTATGTTATTCAGCCTGTGGCTTGGTATGTTGACTTTCCAACATTTCCAGTTCATGCTTCTGTGAACTTGTTTGTTGCAATTTAAGCCATATGTTGGACAACGTACACTTTGAGAGTTCGAAAAGATTGGTACATTGGCTAAACAGGAACCTTCTCTTGGATATAAGGCAAAAAAGGAAGACGTACACCCAGTGAAAGCAAGGTCAAGTGATATGGGAAGAATTCAGAGATGCTGCTTGCCACTGTAGGAGAAAATTCGTGCAGCCAAAGCTCAGCTGGAGATGAAGCTGGTTAGAAATGTGGGGGACAATAAAAAGTTTTTTTAAATACATAAATGGGAATAGGCAGTATAGAAATAGCATTGGCCCATTACAGGATGAGGATGTTCACCTCACAAACAGGGACAGAGGCAAGGCAGAGGTGTTTAGTGCTTTCTTCGCCTCTGTCTTCAACACAGATGAAGGACCAATGGGGTCTCAGTGCCTGAGCTAGAGGACCATGACAGTGAGAACAATCAACTCCCAGTTGATCCTGAAAGCATATAGGAAGGATCTGCTGCTCCAGCTGAATCCCTACACATCTCTGGGGCCTGATGGGATTCATCCCAGAATCTTCAAAGAGCTGGCTGATGTCATCACAAAACCTCTAAATGATTTTTGAGCAGTCTTGGGAATCCAGCTGACTGGAAGCCAGTGAATGCTGTGATTTTCAAGAAGGGCAAGAAGCAGAACCCTGCAACTCCAAACCTATCAGTCTCACTTCAGTTCCTGGTAAAGTTATGGAGAAGACTATTCTGGGAAGTACTGAAAAACACCTGAAAGACAACACAGTCATTGGTCACAACCAGCATGGCTTCATGAGAGGAAAGTCCTGCTTATCAAAACTGATTTCCGTCTATGACAAGGTAACTCACCTAGCTGATCAAGGAAAGCCAGCTGATGTAATCTTTTTGGATTCCAGTAAAGCTTTCAATACTGTCCCTCACAGGATCCTTCTGGACAAAATGTCCAGCACACAGCTGGATAAACACATCATGTGATGGGTAAGCAGTTGGCTCACAGGTTGAACCCAGAGGGTAACACTGAATGGGGGAACATCAGACTGGAGACTTGTCACTAGTGGGGTTCCACAGGGCTCCATCTTAGGCCCTGTGCTCTTCTACATCTTCATAAATGACTCGGACACAGGACCAGAAAGGACACTAAGCAAGTTTGCAGACCATACAAAACTGGGAGGAGCTGTTGACTCCCTCAAAGGCAGGGAGGCCCTGCAGAGACACCTCAACAAATTAGAGGACTGGGCAATCACCAACCACATGAATTTCAATGAGGGAAAGTGCCAGATTCTACACCTGCGGTGGGGCAACCCTGGACATACATACAGATTGGGGAATGAGATGCTGGAAAGCAGTGCCACAGAAAAGGACCTGAGAGTCCTGCTCTGTGGCAAGTTGAATATGAGTCAGCAGCGCCCTGGCAGCCAGGAGGGGGGGGGCATCAGGCAAAGCATCTCCAGACGGTCTAGGGAGGGAATTGTCCTCCTCTGCTCTGCACTGGGGTGGCTTCACCTTGAATATTGTGGCAGTGTTGGGCACCACAATATAAGAAAGATATTAAGCTCTTAGAGAGCGTCCAAAGGAGAGCAACAAAGATGGTGAAGGGCGTTGAGGGGAAGCCGTGTGAGGAGTGGCTGAGATCACTTGGTCTGTTCAGACTGGAGATGAAGAGACTGAGAGGAGACCTCATCACAGTCTGCAACTTCCTTGAGAGGGGAAGAGGAGGGACAGGCACTGATCTCTGTGGTGACT